CAACAAACCTGATTAACATTACATGATTAGTCAGTCTAAATTGTGTTTCTGTTATTGTTAGTCTCTATAAACTGTTAAGGAAAGCTCTCTCTGTGTGTGCATGCACAAATAAACAGTTTATACAGATGTGTGTGCAGATGTTGTTTCATGAGTCATTAAATGTGTAACATCTACATAATCTGGTTTATAAAGTGTCCAACACTACTTGTTAACCTGAAGCAACCCTGCAACAGTTAGTTGACCTAGTTTGCTTGATTCAGACTTACTTGGTCATGTCTGAAATCAGTGGGACAAGGCGGTCATGATTTAAATCCTGTCAATTTCAGGGGACTAAAGAATTATTGTGAATCTAACTGACTCCTTTTTTAAAATTCAAGATTTCTATCAAATGTATCTGAACATCACTAACCTCATGTCAGCAGCTGGTTATGACAAAGCAATGGGTTGTTGATAATATGCCAACTTTGTGACGGCATGGATAGGATGATACACAGAACTTTATATGATACAACATATTACAGTGTTCAGGGATTTACAAGTATGTTGAACTAGTTTTCACATTTCAGTCCTTTCCATGGATGCTTGGAAGGAAGATGCACTGAATTCATCATAACATTGCAACTGTCTAAGATGGCAGAATTATTGAAATCCACAAGAGATTTGTCATGAACATCAATGGGATGTAGCTTGCAACCATACAGTAGAATCATACAAATTTTTGCACAGATGTATTAATAGGATGCTGTGGAAAATGCATAATGGGATTGCAACTTTAGATTTTTGCTCTTTGGTGTGCAGTGTTTTTATTTTATTTTATTTTATTTTATTTTATTTTATTTTATTTTATTTTATTTTATTTTATTATTTTGAGGATTTATATCCCACCTTTCCCCAAAAATGGGATTCGTTTGATTTGTGGCTCTGAGGGTATGTTTTTAATGTGAATGAAATCAGTATAACATCCTTTAAAGGAAATGCATGCATTTATATACTGCCCATATATATTCAGAGATAAATTGCAACAAGAGTGACAAATACTGTATCTTTCTGTAAAGAGAACAATATAGCTGTAGAAAGAAAGGCACTCTACTTACTATATATGCTGCTATATGAAGATTAAGTTGTGGAGTAGTATTATTTTATTCTTTATGAAAAAGTGTATAAAATTCAGCAATACTATTTGGAAAAATGATCCTTATTTTCCTAAGAAACAGTTCTATTAAAGAAGAAATTCCATTTTCCATTGATAATGTTGTTTAACTCAATGTTTGCCAGTGGAGCTGTAGAATTTTAGCTGTCATTAAAAATGCCAATGAAATTATTTATGATCCACTTACAAGGTTTGCTATGTTAGCAAATTACTGTTTCAGGAAACCTGTTTTGCTGTCCTTTGTTTAAGTGCTCACATGCCCAAGAAAGGCATGGCCTCTGTCTACATTTCTCCAATGGAACTACAGCAGACATAACAGCTATCCAAAACTGTAAACCCAACACTGTCACTTTTCTTCCTCCTGTATGATTTTTAAACATCTTTTGCTTGATAAAGAAGCCAGAGGAGAGTTGAAAGCTTATATTATGTGTTTTGTGCTTTTTGGCTGGCCAATAAAGGTACCACTCTTTTCTGGATTTTCGATTTTTAAAAATTTCAGACAGGGTCAGCTCTATAACAAGTGTGACTGTGTCAAGCAATTGAAAGTATTATCATCAAACTTAGGGTTCTAGTACACTTCTCTGTCCATACAAAGTACTGTGATCTTTTTGTGAGATTTTAAATATTCTAGATTAGGCATAGGAAACGTGTGCTCCAGATATTGTTGGCTTTCAATTTCCATCAACATTGGCCATCCTTCTTCCAATCAACATTGCCAATGGTAAGGGAGGGTGAAAATTGTAGTCTATAAATGTCTGAAGGATCAAAGCTTCACCATAATTAACAGGAATATTGCTTAACCAAGGCTAACACATCAAACTAAGACAGCAATCCTCTACATATCAACTGGAAGGAAGTCCCATTAAATTCACTGTGACTTTGAGCAGACATATCAAGGATTGATATGCAAGCACTGCTGAGCTGAGTGTTGTTTCACTATAATAAATCATACTTAGTCTTCTGACAGATTTGTCTACTTTCTCACTCTCTCAACTTTTAAAAAAGGTCATTTGAAGGTTTCTTCTTACAGTGCAGAATTTGCAATAAACTATTTCTATATTCCAGGTACTGTTTGGTGGCTGATATGTAAAGGAAAATGGCGAAAGTTGATACCTATCATTCCTGTCCAACTATCCATAAGCTATCTGTGACGACTATTGACAACGAGCCTGATAGGCTTGAAAATGGATTTATCAGGTATTAATAATAATTATAGAAATATTTAGTATCTCTAAATATAGCAAAACCAAACCCATAAACACTATAGAAGTATAGTTTACAGTCTAGCAAAGCACAATCTCATACTTGTCTATTTACAAGTATGCAGCACTGAATTTTGGAGCAGCATACTCCCAGGTAGGTGTGTTTGGCAGGATTACAATCTAAAACAGGGGTAGGCAATCTTTCCCCTTTAAGGGCCGAGGGACTTCAGCTCCCAGAAGCCTCAGCCATGTTGGCCAATAGTCCCATGTTGGCCAATAGCTCCTGGGATTCTGGGAGGTGAAGTCCCTCGGCCCTTAAAGGGGAAAGGTTGCCTACCTCTGATCTAAAACAAATATGGTTAACTGTGCTAGGTCCAAAGCCAATTTTCTGCCCCGGGATTCTAGAGGTTGCATAGACTGCAGAAAATGTTGCCCATGCAAAAACCAAAACAGGTCAGAAGTCCACCTTTGGTTTTAAAAACAGATTGGTTTTTTTTGGGGGGGGGTTAAATGGTGCTGGAGCCTCTAAATGCTATTTAAAAGCAGCTTGATTCTCTTGGAAATTTCCATGAAAGGTATTTCACTTTCTGGGGGTGGAGGACAGAAAAAATTAAGTCCTAAAATTTAGGGGCTAAATCTTTCCCACTGAAATAAATGGACTTTCAAGTGGTTAACTTGGGTTGGCTGGCTCCCATTTTCTTTAACACCATCTTATCTGCTTTCTTTAGAAAGGGTAGGGCTGTTGCTTTTAAGAGCTGAGTTAATTTTATAGTATCCACTTCATGTTTCCCCCTTAGGCTGATCCTCATTGAACTGTAGTGAATGTTTTGTAGACTCTACTTAAGGCTTCTGGAAAGAACCACTTTAGGTCAAATGCCCACAATGCTGCAGAGAGGATGGGAAGGGCTGCACACAGAGTCTACTTGTAAATGTTAAAATACTAATAAACTCCCTACCCAGGGTCTCACAGTATATATACAACCAGGCTTTTCCATTTCAGTTTTCTCTGAAGATGCTAGCCACAGATGCTGGCGAAACGTCAGAAAGAAACTCTTTCAGAACATGGCCACACAGCCCGAAAAAACCCCACAAAAAAACTACTAATAAACTGCTATTTGTTGAGGAAAAAAGAGCAAAAGAATGAATCAATTCTCTGTTTCCCTTCTAAATTACATTGCATATCTTGTATACTTCTTGAAACACAAGATGAAGTAGAAGAATTACAATAAACATGCAGAAACAAACATTATGGGTAAACTGTAATGATACCCTACAGCAGTGGTTCCCAAACTTTGGTCCTCCAGATGTTTTGGACTTCAGCTCCCAGATTTCTTGACTGTTGGCCAAGCTGGCTGGGGCATTTGGGGACTGAAGTTCAAAACACCTGGAGGACCAAAGTTTGGGAACCATTGCCCTACAGCAAGCCTGCATAGCATATGCCCCGGGGCCACATACAGCCAACCAAAGGATTTTGGGTGGCCTGTGAGGATGTGGAATTATTTCAAGAATCCTCCATGCTTGGCCTTCTCCTGAGGAGAGGACCATGCGGAAGAGG